TGAGCAATGTTTGTGGCGCACATTCATAGGCAATAAGTGATTAGATGAAAATCAACATGCTGATATTTGAGAAAAGTGATTCCAGCAATAAGCGAATTGATGATCAATGGGCAGTGAGCCAAATTACTGAATAAACCACTGAATACTGAATAGACTGAATAAACCGTTGATCACACAATACAGACAAATTCACAAAGAAGAAAGTAACATAAATCAAGAGGGAATTCTTAAAAAAAGAACATCAACATCAGAGTCATTTTCCAATGCCAAAATTACTTATTGCTTTTCAAAACGGTTGTGCTATGTGCACGTTTGCTCTTCATGCGTATACGAATTTTTTTCTGATGGTATATGCGCTGTTGCGCAGTTTTCAGCACCTCGTTAATGCTGCGTATCTCGCGTACAATCTGTTCATTAAGATCGCCGGACAGGTGCTGCAAAGATTTTTTAGTACAACTTGTACTAAATTTGTTTCGCTGTCCGCTTTGTGTCGGACAAAAAGTAATTTCATAACTCATTTGGCATTTTTCAAAGTTCCAAATTATTATTTTAAAATTCAATTTCAAGTAAATTTCAAGTTTTTTTAATTGCAAAATCCCAGAAATTTTAAAGTTTCAAGTTAAAATTTCAAAAATTCAGAAAATTTCGAAATTCATTCGGTCTAGACCAGCTGTGGATTCCCGACAAAATTGGTTAATTTGGGAATATTTAGGCAGGACTCAGCTTAAATCCTTAGAAACAAAAAAATTTGCGGCAGTATTTTAAAAATTAGTATTTTGTTTGGTAATCTGAACCAGAAACATACAGCTTTCGCGATTTGCTCTTGCGCACTTTTTAGTAGCGTCTTTGCTTTAATCAATTCATGATTCAAACGTTCCATTTCTTCCATCATTTTTTGCGTTTCTTCCGTCTGCAACTGTAAATTACAAGTCATAAGAAATCACAAACAGAAGGGCCTGAAAAAACCGAAAAATTCAACAAAAGCAACTCCTGGCGATTAGGAGATTCTACTCAAAAAAAAGGAAACCAGTTTAGAAATTACCGACAAACCACCGGTAAGTGCATCATGCTGCCCTTCTGTAATACAGTGAGAAATCTGTGACTGCAGTTCTTGCATACTCGTCAAGAGATCCACGGATACAACTTGCTGAAGCAGAATTTTGTATTAATTTTTTTTTTTTCAAAGGTATGAAATAGTGCGCCGCCTGGCGCTTTCTTCTCAAGTAATTTCCAGACAAAAAATCAGTGCAGAGAAAACGTACAGATATTTGCGGAATGGCTTTGATCTTCTGAATAATTCTGTCAGAAACATCAAGCGCTCGCCTCATCCCAGTGAACTTCACTCCTGCAATTAATGCATTTTTACTTATATTTTGGGTCTAACTAGTCATAAGAGCTTCTGCTGAGCTACGCCAATCGTTTCTCCCTCAACCTGCATGCCTCCAATTAGTACCCTTCATCCCAATTACGAGGTTATGCCAACTCATCGAAATCAGGTCGCGAGTAACATATAATGGCAAGTAACCTAAAATAGAATGAAGACAATTAAATGCACTTACCAACAGATTCAGCTTCCGAAACCAGCGCCTCATTTTGCATTTTTAATGCCTCAGTCCTAAAACAAGAGGAAACAAGCCGTGGGTTGATTAATTTTGAGCACAGGCATACAACTTACACATATAAGCCCACAGAAGAAAATAAATATGCAAAAATGCATAAAAACGAATTGCTAGGTTCCTCCTCAAAAAAAAATGAATTAGCCCGCTTCGTAAAATTCTAGCAGAAACTGAAGTTTAATAAAAAATAAATGGCAACGCGCACCAGACTAGCCGGTGCGATAATGCGTTTTGTGCAATTCAACCT